CTTTCTGCCCTGAGCGGCCCAGCTGGAGACTACCTCCTGCTCGGTCAGTCTGGAGACGAACCTGGGCAGGAGGGAGTGTGCTTGAGGCCCTGGGAGCAGCGGGAGGCCTCACCTTTCTCTCGTCTGGGCACCAAGAGGGAGAGGAGGAGGGACCAGAGAGGGCCAGGTGCTGGGAAGGTGAGAGCCAGGTTTCCGGAGCTCCCTGGTGTCCTGCAACTGTCTGTACAGTGAACATGTGTGTGCATGTGTATGTGCACCAGTGCAAGTGCATTCATTGTGTGTGCACTTGTGTATAAGGGTGTGGAGACACGCACGTGTGCATCTGCTCACGTGAGTGTGTGTGGATACATGGTGTGTGCATGTAAGGGCACGTGTGTATGTGTATACACGTTCATGTGTGCACGTGTGTGCATGTATGTGTATTTGGGGATGGGGCCCTCTAATGAAGCCCCCAGGTATGCTGATCATGCATGTGTGCATACGCACGAGTGCACATGCATGTATGTGTACACATTCATGTGTGTGCACATGTGTATATGCAGGAGCGAGGCCCTCTAATGAAGCCTCCCCATCGGCGTGCTGCATGAGAACTGGGCTCCGACCCTTCCACTCTCCTCCCGCTCTCCCTCTCCTCCGCCTCCTGGCCCTGCATCCCTTCATGGCCTTCTCGCTCCCTTGTTCCTTCCATAAATTCATCCTGGACATGGTTTCCATGGTGTTCTGATCAAAACTGGAATTCAAATCATAATTGCAGTGGGTGTGGGGAGGTGGTGTGAGGAGGGGAGGGGAGGGGAGGCTTTCCTGTGCAGTAAACTCAGGCTCCCGGCGGGAGTTTTTCTTCAGACATATTCAGAAATGTATAGAATCCTCGCTCAACACGTCCCTGTTGCCTAGCAACAGAATGGAGCTAGAGGTGGCTGGTGGCCTCCCTCTGTCCCAGCGGTGAACCAAGCCTCCCGCCCACCCCCAGCTCAGCAAATCTGCAGCAGGAGGCAGGGCTTACCTTCCTGGGGGGGCTGGGGGGAGGTGTGGTAAGGGCTGGGGCCGCATGTCCACCTCGCCCCACTCTCTCTTGGAGGGACACTTGCACTCACTTAGGGTCCAAAGGCATGACACAGACGTGGAAGTTGGGCTTATCGAGGGAGGGAGGGGCTCAGGGAAGGTTTGCCAAGTGTCAAAGGATGTTGAGGGCCCAGTGTCAGAAGTCACGGGTGAGGGGTCGGGTAATAATCACATGGATAAATAGCACGGCAGTGCTGCCCTGACTGCTCCCACACCATCCCCGCGTCCCGTGTCCCCTACGCCGTACCAGTGCGCACGCCATCCCAGTGTCCTCTCTGTGTCTCCTGTGCTGTGCCAGGTCCCCCTCCCCTCAGAGGTGGTACCCAGCTGGGCTGCTTTGCCAGCTGGGGACAGGAGGCTCGGACCATGAGCTGGGGATCTGGAAACCACCTGAGTCGACTCTAGGCCCCAGGGCCAGAGGACAGAGTAGCTGAGCCCAGCCTGCTGACACTCAGGCTTGAGGCAGAGCTGAAGCTCACCAACTGTTTGAATTGGTATTTCCACGTTACGGACAGGGCCTGCCTTCTTGTGCGAGGGCGGACGAGCAGATGCACACTCCGCCTGCAGCCACCTGGTGCCCCTTGGCCCATTGTTGACTCTCTGATGGTGCCTGGTCCCTGGTTTCCTCAGCCTCACCCATCGATGTCCCTGAGCCCGGTCGAGGGGCAGCACCTCCTGCTTTGGCCTAAGACCCAGGCCTTGTGGAGACCTGCCAAAGCCCAGGCATGTTTGGTAACAGGCCTATTGGGGCGCCGGCTGCTGCATCAGTGCCTGTTGAATGAGTGAGTGAGTGAGTGTGTGCAGGGGCATGGCCACTTCAACATAAGAGTCCTACTCACAGGGTCTACATGTGTCCTTTATTGGTGACACAAATGGTTTGCAGGTGGGCTGTGGGGGTGGTGGTGAGCAACTTCTCTGGTCAGTGGGGAGTGGTCACATGGGCTCTGGACCTGTGATGGGACACAGGACATGGCGCTGGACTCTAGAGGCAAGACATGGCTCAGACCAGAGCTGACAGACAGTCAAGGTGTGTGATGGGTTGAACGGTGTCCCTAACAAAGCCCGCTGGATGTGCTGGCCCAGTCTCCAGGACCCCGTTTGGAAACCAGGACTTTCTGCGGTTGTGTGGACTTCACACCTGATGAACTGGGGGTAGCCCTAAGCCCATGTGAGTGTCATCACCTAAAAAGAGCAAGAAGATGCACAGAGACACACAGGGGAGACTGACACCCCGGGAAGGTACATTGACCAGGGTGCCCTGAGCCGCCGCCGCCCAGACTCTGAGTGTGAGACAGCTCCTGCTCCTGGAAGCCATCGCTGTACTGTGTTTCTGTGCAACAGTGTCGGTAACTCAGACAGGGTGTCACAAAGCAGGTGTGCACCCATGGCGTGCCAGAGTGGAAACAGGTGCACATGAGTGGCATGCAGGCGTGGGTGTGTAGTCAGGCATGTGCCCATGGTGTGCATGTGTGGGTGCATGTAAGCACAGATGTGCTGGGGGGTGTGCCCAGAGTGTGAAGGTGTGGGTGTGTGTAAGCAGGTTTGTGCCCGAGGGGTGTGCCCATGGAGTGAGGGTGTGGGTGCGTGTAAGCAGGTTTGTGCCCGAGGGGTGTGTCCATGGCGTGCAGGTGTTGGTTCATGTAAGCATGGATGTGCAGGGGCATGTGTGGGTGTGGGTATGTAGGCAGGGGCATACCTGTGGCATGTGGGTGTGATCTCTCCTACATTAATGGAGAGCCACAACAGATACGACAGAGAAGACCCGCCCCGCCCCCAGCTACAGCTGCAGGGCCTCCTCCTGCAACCCTGCCCCCCCTCACCTGCCTCTGACCTGCTCCCACCTCAGGATGCCTCCCCCCGTGTCAGCTCCTCGAGGACAGCACCCCCTAGCCTGGGAGAGGCCAAGAGGCAGGACGACCAGATGTAGAGACTGAGGCCGAAGGCCAGGAAACATGGGGGAGGAGTCGGGGGGGTCTGAGGCCGACTGGCTGGCCAAGTCCAAGTCTTTGTGTGGGAACCTGGCACCTAGGAGAGCGCCAATGCCAGCTTTGATGTCCAGCTTTGATGCCCATGCCTGGTGGGATGGGGCTTGTGATAGCCCCTGGATCTGCTGGGTCTGGGAAGCCTCCCACCCAGAGCAGACCCTGAGTAGGGGGCTCTCGATCGGGGAAGACTCTCCTCTGGCCGGTCACGTCTCCCTGGGGCCCATGGCCAGGGGGCCGTGAAAGGCCTGCCCAGCCGGAGCCTCCTCGGGGACTGCCACTGGGCAGGAAGCTCGGCCAGTGGGCAGTCTCCCCGGGCCCGGTTTTGGTGGCTGAAGTTTGGGCAGCCAGCGGAGAAACAGTGTGGCTCCCTCAACACAGTGCAAAGCAGAGGGGCCAGCCAGAAGCAAGTGCAGATGCAGTAGGGGCTCCTCCTCGATTCACCGACGAGAAACAGTCCGAGAGGCACACACAGGCAGAGCTGGCACTAGGACCCCACCTGGGCTGAGCCCAGGCGGGGGATAAGGGCAGACAGCTCCCCAAGCAAAGTGCCTGCTACTCACAAAGCGCCTGAGTTTTGTTTCTGGGCCCGGCTGCCACACTGGCTTCAGGCCCTGGTGGTGCAGAGTGCTCATTCTGTCACCTGCCTTCCCCTGGGCCAACAGTAGGCATCGAGCCGGACTCCTGTCCTGGGTGGAGCCCAGCTCCTGGAGTCCCCAGAGGAGACTGGACACCCCGAGGCTGCTGCACTGAGGCAGTGAGGGCCGCCAGTCCGCCAGGGCAGGGACCCCGGGTTCCCTCCTCTCTGGCAGCTGCCCCCAGGGCACCCGCCACGGACCTCAGTTCAGGAGAGCAAGGGAGCCCCTCCCCACCCCCAGTGGCAGGTGAGGAGGAGGAGGAGGAAGGGCAAGGGGACAGCTCCCCTGAGAGCCTGGACACTGGGTGGGGGCAGCAGGGAGGGAGGGCCTGGCCACCCAGGAGTGAGGGACACCATGCCCAGGCCAGCAGCCCTGTCCTCCGATCACCCCTGTGGGGGCGAGCAGTGATGGAACGGACTGGCCTGGATGTCAGGGCCGAAGCCAGGCTGCCCGCGGGCTGGCCTGGTGATGCTGGCAGCGCCCTCTCCTGGTCCGGGCCTGCTGGCACGGCCAGGCTGGGCAGCAGTGGTGCCACCCAGTGGGCTCTCCGCAGCACAATTCTGGGTCACACCGTCCTCCTGGGCCAGCTCAGAGGCACTGCTGCCCACAGCCGTCACCTCCCTCCATCCCCTTCCCTAAATGGCCACTAGTCTGCGAACAGAGAGACCATCTCCAGACTAATCTTTCCTTATTAAAAGCCCTTTGGAGCCTGCAGGAGGACACACTCTGCCAGCTTTAAACACAAGACAAGGGAGGGGAATGTGGGGGAGGGGAAGGAGGTGGGGGGGAGAGGAGATGGGGGAAGGTAAGCAAGAATGCTTTCA